TTAACCGAAAAATTTATGAAAAACTTTAAAAAGAAATGGAATGAGACAGGTAGACAAAAAGGGAGATTTATAAATCGTTACGAGAAATGGTTAAATATGGAATTTATTGTAAATGAACTTCAACAGCAAGTTAGAATAAACCATTTACAACGAGGTGCACCATCAAAATTATTTGAAGATCTCTCAACAAGGTCTAAGAAAAGAAGATCTTCAGAGATTACTGAAAAGTTAGGAGTTACTACTGAAAGCCTATTTCATGCCCTTATCCTTAATCTAAATAAAGAAGGACGAAATAAAGACGCCAAAGTTTTAAAACATATGATGGAAAGTAAAGTTGATGGATCCTGCAATGTATCATGCTCTAAAGTCTACTCAGCTGAAGAAGCTTTAGCTTTAATGTTAGACTGTAGAATGAGTAGGGCTGAATATCAAAATATCCGTCAAGGGGCCTTAGATAAAGGTTGCATGTTATACCCTACCTACAACTTTATTGTGAAATCTAAAAGCGATTGTATTCCAGATTCCAATTGTTACCACAAACTACAGTGCTTCTGTAAATCTTCAAGGAATAATGGATCACACTACAAACAGGATTTGGAAAGTTATTGATAAATCAAAACTACCTGAGCCTTACAATAATCTTCTTCTTATAAGCAAAGTCGGATTCGATGGTTCAACTGGACAGAGAACTGAAGATGAAGAGGACAGATTGTCATTCTCAGTTGAAGAATCTTTATTTTTTTCATGTACAGTACCTGTGCAACTTAAAGTTCAGGAAACTAATGTTATTCTTTGGACTAACCCCAAAACATCCTCAACCCAATATTGTCGCCCTGTTCGAATGCAATACGTTAAAGAAAATCAGCAAATTGTTAAAGCAGAATATAATTTTTTTATGACAACTAAACTCAGAACAACAACCATAGATTTATATCAAGTCAAGCACAAGTTAGAATGTACTATGATTGACGGAAAAGTTTCCACTCTTCTTTCTTCATTAATTGATTTTTATCATGTTTGCAATATATATGGATTAAATCCTAAAAAAATAAATGACTTTGTAATTGCTTATAATAAACAACCTAATCAGATGTCTTTGGACTTGGGAATCCACACTCTCCATCTCTGGATTCGTTGTTTTAAATGCAAACACTCCTGAAAAGAAAAATATAGTTACAAGTAGAAAAAAAGAAATTCAGGAAAAAATCAAAGATACACTTGGACTTGTTGTTGATGTACCAAGAAGTGGTGGCTCTGGTAAATCTAATGATGGAAACACAGCAAGAAGGGCATTTAGAAGCCATGAAACTTTTGCTGAAATACTTGGAATTGATAAGGGTCTTGTTAAAAGATTTTTCATTATCCTTTGTGTGTTGTCCTGTAAACACCCAATTGATCCTGATAAACTAGAATTATATTGCAAAGAAACATTTAAGACATATGAAGCCCATTTTAAATGGTATCCTATGCCTGTTGGAGTTCACAAGATGATTGTACATTCACACCAGGTTGTAAGAGACAAGCCAGTTCCAATAGGCCTCTTATCTGAAGAAGCCCAGGAAAGTAGAAATAAAGATGTTAAAAATTTTCGAGAACATTTTACAAGAAAATTTTCGAGAAAACTTACAAATGAACTCTGCTCATCAGACCCCTTTATCACTTCTATGAGGCGAAGTTCAGAATCAAAAAAGGAACTTGAACTTCCAGCAGAATGTTTAGACCTTCTTTTGTAACTTTCTAAATAATATTATATTCTTTATATCAAACTAATTGAATTATTGATAGTATGTGTCCTAAATATATTTACTTTATTTTAAGAAATCTATTAAGCTGCATTTTTAATTTTCATAAATGTATCATAAATCTTGGAAATTATTTTAATTCTTTATATATTGCTGTTGAGCTTACTTTTTGTCCTTGGCACCTGTCCTTGGTGTTGTCCTTGAGGTGATACTCTGCATGTTTTTGTAATCCACCAAGATGTTATAAATGTAAAGTTTGTCCTCTAGAAAATATTTAGTTAAAAGGTATTCATAATTCTGTTAAAATAAGTTAAATGGAAGTTTTATTAAGCTATGTGTTCTTGGTGTTCTGCACAGGTATGATACTTATTCAATCAAACAATGTATCAAACATTCTGGTGACTGTTTATAGTCAATAGAAATTTGAAAATTAATATGAAATGCGTGTCACATGTTTATTATTTGTTTTGCGATTTGTCCTTGGTTTTGTGTTATTGGCGTGTCCTTTAGAGGTATATAAAGCAACATTACAATAACAATTATTGTTGGAGTATAATGAACATTCATCAAAAATTTTAGCTTAATATCTTCAAAATTGCTGAAGATATGATTTTTGCCTCAAAAGTGGCATTTCTGGACCACTGTGCGACGGTTGGCTGCGACATCGTGCCGCCTTCCAAATCCACGTTGTGGCGACGTTGGTTGCCAACCATCAGCCAACGAATTTTTCGACGTTGATCCGACGTTGGGCCAACGTTAATGTGCTAGCTGGGTTAGCATAAAGAGTCTACGTTTTACGTTAAGTTTAGCAACTTTTACAACTTTTTTGTTGCTTTTTCTTCATATCTTTGTTTAAGCAACTTGATCACATTTTCTTCCGTAATATATTTTCCGTTAAGTTTGACTTGCACTGCTTCAATTTCTTAACATGCGATTGATTTCTGGGTTGAAAAGACTGCTTCCATTCTATCTTGATAATGTTTTTGCAACGCTTAACACATACTTGATACCTTTCAAAACTTGAAGCAAGTGTAGTTGAGAAAGATGGTAATCGGTGTGTAGTTGGATTAGGGATTTCGGTGGTTGTTGAAGATAATGAAGCTGTGTCTGAGCAAGATGGTGTAGGTGCTGCGTATGGTGTTAAAGTTGATGAAGGTGGATTGCACGTTTGTATGATTACTAATGCTTTATGATTTATTAAATGGTTATAAACTAGTGAACTAGAAACCAGTATTTACATTACATGCAAGCGTGTAAAACATTTAGCACTCTCGTACAGCAGTTTGAGCAATGGTAGAAAATTTTTTTATATAGATTTATTCATTTTGAGTTTTTTTAATACTTTGCAAAAATTTCTTTGCATGTTTGTTTGAAATGACAATAGACACCTCTATCTAATTGTAGTAGAATATGTGAAGAATGCTCTGGTAGACAAATTAAGATTATATTGTGTTTTTTGTGCAGCAATACCCCTTCCAAAGTTATGTGAGTTGTATGTCCATCTAATACTAAAATATGAATAACACCAATTTACTCAGTTTCGGGTATAAATACTTAATTCAGCCATTCAATAAACGCATTGTGCTATCTGACTTTGAAATTGAATATTTGGTGCCAACTAGACCACCTCTTTCCCAGTCAGGACAAAAGTTTCTTTTGACTTTGCATATCACAAATGTTAGTGCAAAATACCCATCAGCGTTGCTGTAATTTTTTACAGTTTAATGATTTTTTCATTGTTACCAGTAAGTTTAAATGCACGTCTTGTCTTTTTCGACACACTACGGTTGCTTTGCCTTGATTACCCAAAAAACCTGTTTCATCACAATTACAAATATGCAACCTAGAAATTATACCAGTCTGTTGATATTGGAACGAATAAGTAGCAAGTAATTGGAACGAATGCATCATCAATCTTTCTACTCATTTGAGAATACCGTTGTTGTTCCTGAGCCATGGAAGCCTTTGTTGTTGTTATTTTTGCGATCTTTGAACGTTGAGACTAGAACGCCATATTTAAATACAGCTTTTCTCATGAGAAAAGCTACATTTAAACATGGCGTTCCAGTGAGCTCGATGATGTTTTAATTACTTTCATATCAGTTAATACGGCTAGTATATTGACTTCCTTGTATGCTTTGTTTTTTTAATTGACATGTTAAAGTCAGTGAGTTAAATTAAATTGATTGAGTGATGATTATATTGAGAAATAATATAATAACTGGTTTTTAATGAGTAAGAGATGATTTTATTAACAAGTAACAATGTTAATTCCGGTTTAATTAAAAAAGTGTCGATTCCGGTTAAGTCAAAGTGTTAATTCCGGTTTAATTTAAAATGAACTATAACTCATTTTTAATTAAACCGGAATTAACACGAGTGTGCGGTTTTATCTGAAAAGAGTTTTATTTTTAATTGTTTTTATTTTTTATTTAACTTTTTGTTCTAGCTGTATGAAAACTATATTACCTCAATTAAAATTATATTTCCAACAAAATTGTGCTAAAATATTTTAGTATCAACTTCGGTTCAAGCGCTATTTTGCTCGCAACGATAAAAAATATATAAAAAAATTTTGACTTTCCATTTAAGTTGTATAAAAAAAAGAAAAAATGGAGTTAAATCGGCATATAACTTTTTCAATTCGAATAGAGGAGATAGTTCTGTATTTGAATCTATTTATATATTTTTCATAGCCATATCTGTTTAATTTTCATAGCCATATCCGTTTAATTTTTATTTGATAATTTCAATCAGTGTGTGGAATGATACGGTGTGCGGAATGATATGGTGTGCGGTTTGACCCGGATTTACTTTTCTTCAAGTTATACTTTAGTTTTTTTATTCAAAGGTTTTATACAATTCATAGAAAATATAATATAAATAAATATAACTTGTATGAAAAAAGTTTATTTTTACAAATTGCGTTGCAACTAGCCCCGGCCTCGCCTATAACAGTTGATGGAAATATTCAATTTAATTATAGATGTAGGCAAAATAGGAATTAATATTAAGGCAGGTAACAGATTTTTCATTGCGTCTTGTAATTACGGTAAAAATTTGCAATTACAAAATATTTGTAAACTTTCACTTTAAATATATCATTTTTTTGCATCGAAACTCTTTAAGATTAACTTCTGTATCATAACTCGTTTAACTTGCATGCGAAACTCATTGCGAATTCGCAATATGTTTCGAGTGCAAGTTAAAGTTAAATAAGTTTTGTTTTTTATTTTATTTTTTAAATGAGTTTCGATATGACTAATGATGTTAATATGAAAACTCATTAAAAATTAAAATTAGTTTAGATCATTTAAATACTTTGATCTCGAAGCGTTAACTGTATAACCTATATTTAGTTGACTGTCTAACCTTTATCGAGTTTAATACTTGCTTAAACTTATATTTTAATATCTTAAAAAAGCATATACTGAATGTAAGTTATTTTTGTTTTGATGAGTAAAATTTGTTATTAAATTTTTTTTAGAAAGTATCATTAATTTCTTTTTTAAATAATTTTTTTAAGCAAAGGTTACAAACTTTGGTTTCTAGGTTTTAAGATTAGCAGAATTATCTCATATTTTTTATGAAAACCATTTTTATGCAGCTATCGAGTACCATATTAGTTTATATGGCTAAATAGTTTTTTATTTTTACTTTACTCGCTCAGTTTCTTTGATGTTTCACATTTTCTCAATTTTGATCAAGTTTAACTAAATTTTTAAGATAAGCGCAAATAGATTTTACTAATTATCGAATAATGAATAAGTAATCCTCATTGATATATATTCCCGATCCTTTCACTCGCATTTTTTAAAACTTTTACTTTATCTTTGTAATTTAATATTTTCATTACTATTGATCTTTGTCTACCTGCTTTAATTTTTCCTAAACTGTATGCCCGTTCAATTACAATTCTTATTAAATATGGTTTTTCTTCAAAAATATTTAATACCTTCAGTTCGGTGTCATCCCAGTTTTCTTTTTCATTTTCTGATAATCCCTCTATTCAAGATTATTCCTTCTTTGTCTATCTTCAAGTTGCTTTAGTTTATTACTTACTATATCTCTGCTCTCTGATTTTGATATGATTTTTTTTTCTAATTCGAGATTTTTTTTTCTTGTCTTGTGTAAAGTTCAGACTTTCTTCTATGTCTTTTTGCACATTTTCATTTTTGTTTAATCTTTCAACGTAATTTTATTGTTCTTCTTTAATTAATATGTTTTCTTTTTAGAGTGTCACACATAAATCTTTTTCAGTAATTATTTCTTTTAGTAGACCATCAATTCTGTCGTTTGTTAATTTCAAATTTCTGTTTATTAGTTTTAGAATATAATTTTGTTGCTTTATAAACATTTCGTTGAATATCTCCTGAACAAGCTTTATTAAATAAATTTGTTTATCGTTTGATAATTTATCCATGATGTATTACTTTGTTTTATTTGTGTTCTTTTTTCCTATTATTAAAGATATATAAATACTGAAATTTTAAATTACAACGATTTAATTTCTTATAATTACTACACTTGCAAAAACTCGTCAGCTCATAAAGAAAGTATGCAGCAAAATAAAAATATTAAAAATTAAAAAAAAAAAAAAAACTTATTGGAAAAAATAAGTTTTGAGACCGGTTAGACTCTTTGGGTTTGGTACTGATTTTTCTATTAAAAGTTTGAGTAACTATTGTTAAATATCTGTATGGGTAACAAAGTTAAATATCTGTATGGGTAACAAAGTTTCTCTTCAAGAGTTTTAAATCAGAGTCATAACCACAGTTTGTGTATTGGAGGCCACGGTTGTTGAAAAAAATTTACAAAATGTCGAATTAAATTAAACTCAAGATCAGAATAAAATTAAAATCTTTCTTAGTTAAAAGATTGCCTGCCCAAAACAAAACTCTTAATCAAATAACTTTACTCCAAACACTGACCCCACCCACACCATCAGTCAATACATAGTCTACTCCTCGGGTGTTTTCCCCACCAGTCAGTCGATGTATGTATATCACGTAGCTCGTATCCCTAACTTTATCAATGAATGTACGCTTCGCGTAAAAGTAAATAAATAAAAAAATAGTTCAAAAATAAAGAAATAAAAGTATTTTTAAAAAAACTTGTTTATGTTTAGGAATAAAGGTTTAGTCTTTTAAGCTGTTATTTATTGTTAAGCTTATTATTTACGATAAAGTTGTTAATTTTAGATTTAGAAGTAAGATGATACGTCAACAAATAATAGTTATAGTGTGCATGATTTTCATTGTAAGCATCGCAGAAAGTAACAAAGAAGATCTCAGGAGAGGCGTTCGCTGTCGTTATGGCGAATGTCAACAATATAATTATGATACCGAGGTAAAATAATATATAAATGTAATTGAAGGCCTCAACGGAAGAACGATCAGATTCACACTTTTGCTGTTTTGAGAAAATCAGTTTTTAACATTCAAAAAACCATTATGTAGTTCAATGAATTAAAACCATAACTCAAGACTCTGATCGTTTTTCGATTAGTCATATATATATATATGACTAATCGATTAGTCATATATATATATATATATATATATATATATATATATATATATATATATATATATATATATATATATATATATATATATATATATATATATATATATATATATATATACATATATATATATATATATATATATATATATATATATATATATATATATATATATATATATATATATATATATATTGTTAGTTATTTTAAAATATAATAAAATTACTTATACAAAGTTAAATTTACTTATTTATGCAAAACTTAGTAATACTTATGTCATGTTAAAGGTATGGTGTTACGCAAGAAATGGTCTATCTCAAAGTTTCTTACCACAACGATGTGAAGATTACCATCATTGCTATGGGTTAGATTGTATATAAAGTAGTATGTCAAAAGAAAACCAAAGAAAAAAAGAAAAAAAAAACTTTTGATTAACTAGTATAACTATATATATATATATATATATATATATATATATATATATATATATATATATATATATATATATATATATATATATATATATATATATATATATATATATATATATATATAGTTATATATATAGTTATATATATATATATATATATAATATCACTTTATATCATTTTATTATTGATAAATAGTATCATACCAAACATGATGTTTTATTTTTATTTTTATTTTAATATATATATATATATATATATATATATATATATATATATATATATATATATATATATATATATATATATATATATATATATATATATATATATATATATGTGCGCATATATTAATAAATTTTTGAACTTGAGTGGAAGCTTATAAGATGCGCAAACCCTTGTTATATATATATAAGGTTTTTTTTTTTTAATTTTAAAAAAAGTTTAAGGGTGTCACACGACCCCAAAGTACTTTTTTTTTTTACCCTTTTTTGACATTTTTTGACCCCTTGTGTACTACCCTTAAACAATATTGAATTCAAATTTTTTTTCTATATAAACTCTCACAATGACTAATATAAAATAAGATTAAGCACTCTAACTGTGTTTTTTTTTTTCTCTGGAAAACTTATATAAAAAAATCAAAAAAAAGACCCACAAAAAAAAAAATGATTTTTCCTATTTCATGGATCGCCGCAACTTTTATTGGTGATTGAGAAGAATATAACAATGTTGCTTAACTATGTTTACAAAAATTATAAACAAGGGAAAAAAGATTTAGCATAGAATGTAACAAAAAATATTTAAAATAATGTGTTATTAATTTAAAATCTAATATGACGTTTTTTTTTCCCTCCTCCTCCCACAGCTCGAAAGAAAGGTACATTAATAAGGGAGAGCTAATCCACCTTTCTCTAGATTCATCTCTAAGTTTAACATCAAAAATAATATAATATATTATAATAACTTATAATTCTTAATAATAATTTATAATTCATTTAACTGGCTTGATTTTGTAATGAAAAGTACCAAAGAAATACAGAGGTTGCGGCAGTTTTTTTGATGGTTAAGAAAAATAACTTTCAGACTTGAAGCAATCTTTAATTTTGGGTATGTTTATACTTATATTAAATGAGAATACTTTGTAAGAAATCGCAGTGAGTGGAGCCTGGGAACTACCAAAACCCCAAAATTTGTGCCATCAGCCCCAAATGTGAGAGCCAAGTTTTATACAATTGTAATTTCAAACTAAATTTATAGTCATCGCAGATTTCAAATTTCATTTAATAATATTTTAGCGTTCGAAATTTATGACAATGTAAAGTTTTAACCCCCTCATTTTGGGTAGGGTAGAAACTTTAAAATGAAATTTGAAATATGTTGATGAACATAGATTTAATTTATGAATAGCAATAGTATAAATCTCGGTAACTTATTGTCCTCATATTTGGGGCTGGGGAGCACAAGTTTTGGGGTTTTTGTAGTTCCCAAGCTTCAATCACTCCATTTTTTTTCGAAGCATCCTAATTTGATATAAGTATAAACATACCCAAGTTTAAATTTTGCTCCATATCTGAAAGTTATCACCAAATAAAGTTACCACCATTCATGAAATAGCGAAAATCATTTTTATTTTGGTTTTCTTTTTGATTTTTTTATATAAGTTTCCAGCGTTGAGAAAAAAAATACAGTTAGAGTGCTTAATTTTATTTTTATATTAGTCATTGTGAGAGTTTATGTAGAAAAAAAATTGAATTCAATATTGTTTAAGAGTGGTACACATGGGGTTAAAAAATGTCAAAAAAGAGTAAAAAAAAAAAAAAGTAAACTTTGGGGCCGTGTGCCACCCTTAAACTTTAAAAAAAAAAAAAGCATAAGGTAAAATGGTGAATACCCCATTGAATCGTGCACATTAACACGTAAAGCAAAAAGGATTCCATCTAAAACTGAGGCCCAACTTTTAACATTTTAATTTAAGACCTTTATAATTGCTTTCTTAATTGTCTGGTTCTGTCTCTCCACAAAGCCATTGGCTTGTGGATGGTAAGCAGAGGTTACACGTTGCTGAACGCCTGTGGTATCATGTAGTGCAATTTACAAATTCATGATCTTGAATACTGAATTTACAAATTCATGACCTTGGTCATTAATTTTTATTTGAAAACAAACATGCCTGAAAATAACTCTTTAAAGAAAGGCTGCTACTGATACTGCTGTTTTGTTAATAAGAGGTTCAGCTTCAGTCCACTTTGAAAAATAACCTATAAGGACAATTACATAATTGAATTCATTTGATTTAGGTAATTTAATTAAATCTGCACCAACTTGTTTCAAAACTTGTTTTTCTGCTTTAACAGGTTTTAAAGCAGGAGACACTTTTAGGTTTCGGTTAGATGTTTTTTGGCATTGTTTACATTGAGCTACATGTTTGGTGATATCCTCCACAATTAAACACCAAAAAATCTCGAAGAATTTGCTTTCTCACAGCATTAATGCCTAAGTGGCTAGCTAATACAACAGCTATCTCAGAAGTTCCAAGACCCTCATGGACTTCTTTAACAATATTTAATTGTTCTGCCGATCTATTACCACAATCACCTACAATTAAAAAAAAATTATTTGTATGAAATTTTTATATTATTTTGAGTTGTTTTAAAGCTATAAATTTTCAAACTTTCGAATTTAAAAATTTATGTTAATTCACAATAACGCGCAACACAAAATATTGTTTAATTACTTCATTTTATTTAAGTAAAACCTTTAAAATTAATAAAAACTTTTTTTAATAAAAAAAGTTTTCCTTACCTCGCCAATCCTCGCTGTCGGAAATACGTCACAATCTTTGCCGCAAACATCTACCATTTTAGTTGGGGGAAAATAAACTTTCGTTATGAAACAAAAACAATGGCATAACATAAAAGTCTTTAAAATGCACAAGGGTTGTTGTGTCTTTAGGTAATTTTTGATATATATATATATATTTTTATGTATATATATATTTAATATATTGTTTAAATTTACACGTATATATATATAAAGATATATATAATATATATATATATATATATATATATATATATATATATATATATATATATATATATATATATATATATATATATATATATATATATATATATATATATATATATATATATATATATATATATATATATATATATATATATATATATATATATATATATATATATATATATATATATATATATATATATATATATATATATATATATATATATATATATATATATATATATGTATATAAAAGACTACTGATGATTTTTTGAAAGGCCTCTAGAGCTAAAATTTATAATTAGAGTAATTTTTGTAAAATTAAAAGAAGAAAATATTTCGTTTATTGTTTATTTTGCTGACTAACTTTTTTAATTATTGGTTATAAACATATTTCAAGTATAGCCTCAAAAAAAAACATTATAGGACTTTTTAATAAATAATTATAAACGTCATGGTATTGAACTCATGGTCATTCAGTTTGATCATCTTTCCAAGTATTTGCAAGGAACATGTGTAAACATCGGTTGATTCGAAGGAATGCAAATATATTTATATACCTCTCTGCGGCGTTAAAATCAAATTTTTCAAAGTATTTGTAAACCGATATTTCTTTTTTTAAACTCTTTAAATCACTCAGTTGTACTAATTATCCTGCTTTATTTAATGTATTTTACATAACTTTAATAATTTTTTTTTAATTAATTCAAATATTGCCTTTTAAATGTATATAAATCGACTGAAAAATAGGGATTGGCACAACTAAATGCACATACATCGACTGACAAATAGGGATTGGCGCGATTAAATGTACATGATTTGAGACAGGGTTAGGGTTTGGGCAAGGGATAAATCAGAAAATGATACGCATTAAATTGTTCATAGAAACCAGGCTTTAAAAAATCGAAAAAAAATGGCGAATATTAGCGTTTTTTAGTATAATTTTTTAAACTTCAACATCGAATTAGAGCACTTTTTGTTGACTTTCAGAACAATTTTTTTATAGAAACTGCAGTAGCGCCACAAAGTTTTTACACTGCCGTTTAAAATTTGCTTTTTGCCTTTTTTTTCACCTCTTCAGGAAAAGTATTAACATTAAATATTTCCTGACATCATTAAAGTTAATATTTTTGTACATCTTGACAAAATAAGCTATATAAATTGTAAACTAAAAAGCCAGTGAAATTATAACGAGTGAAGTAAAATTTTAACTTTTACCGCAAAAGAAGTTTTTAGGGTTGAAAACTTTTGCGCAGTAAAATTTTAGCGCAGCTCTTAAAAATTATAAAAACGTTACACCGCACAGTGGGCAGAATAGTCAATTGTGAGACAAACTAATAACTATTTTATTATTTGTACTATATTTACAAAGTTTAGCAAAAGTATCAAAATGAGGTCTGTGCTTCTTATGAAAGTAATAGTTTTTATATTTAGTTGCCTAAATTTAGATTTATTAAGATTTACTTGAGGAGTATTTCTTGATTTATCAAAAACATTTGATACAGTGGACCACTATATTCTCTTAGATAAATTAAGACATTACGGAATAATTAATAAAACTTATTATTGGATTAAAAGCTATCTTACAAACAGAAAACAGTATGTAAGTAATGCCCAATCTGGAGTGTTAAATGTCATATGTGGAGTTCCGCAAGGATCAATTCTTGGTCCACTTCTTTTTTTAATATATATTAATGTCTTCTGTAATGCATCCTTAAAACTTAATTCAGTCATGTTTGCAGATGACACGAATTTATTTCTTACTAACAACGATATCAAGAAATTATATGCGGACACGAATATTGAACTAAATAAAGTAAATAACTGGTTTAAGGCTAACAAACTCTCACTTAATGCCTAGAAAACAAACTATATACTTTTTCATAAAAAAACACAAGAAGAAAATCTTCCTTTCAAGTTGCCGAACCT